TAATACAAGGCAGCGTCCAGGAACAGAGAGCAAGGAAATAATCCGGTGATGGATGACTGTGACCCTCCTTTGGGTAGACTCCGACGAGCGGACAGCTGGATGGATCGAGCAAAGTGAGGAAAGAGGAAGGAGAGAGAAAAGAGGATGAAAACTTGGTATTCAAAGACTCACTCCAACTTTTCATCTGCCTTCAGGCCTGCAGGGGCTCGGGGAATAACAAGTGTCTCCTTCAACCCCTTTCTCTGTTCCCGGGATACGGAGAAGTACAACCCTCTAAAAATAGTGCGACTGTGTTTCTTAGCTCGTGTGTCTGCTGGCTGGTGTGGGCGGACTACATGCATAATAACTCCCATTAATCTTCACGCTCCTGAAAGAGTGAAGAGATTAACAGTGCATCTAGCATGACGCAGACCGTACTGCACATTCTTTACACTTTCCACGTCGAGTTTGCTGGTGTTGTGCGTCTATTCTTGAATAAATTGAATGTATAATGTGTGTGAACTGCCTCTTGTCTCTGAGAGATGGCTTGAGGCAGTCTACCAAGAAAATGTCCCCTTTTGCTCTATTTATAAGAAAATATATCTGTGTGAGTGTGACCCATTTAAGAGAACATGGTTTCATTTACTAACATGCGTTCAGAGTTCAGACTATGTATGTCCTGCATTCAAACTCACTTTTTCCTTCTTTCTAGATCTCAGGATTCCAATTCAATTTAAACTGTTTGTTTTATCACAGTAAATACAAATGATTTCAGTGCAGTTGGTGACTAGCGATTGTTGCCCCATTTTCAGCTCAGATTCAGCTAGCTGGGGGAACAGTCAAAAGATAAAACAATATAATGTCAAACCCTGTCATTCTCATTATGATAACTTTAATAGTTAAACTGTTCAGTTTGATAAGTTGATGTCAGATGGCAGAAATAGGGGTCTGATGACAGAAGGTAGAGATGCTCCGATCGATCGGCCACCGATCAATATCGGCCGATATTCACTCTCTGCCGATCGATCTGTGCTCTCTATAAATGCCGATCGCGAGAGCCGATCACATGACGTAAAATACATGACACTTTTCTCTGTGTGCGGCAAAACAAGCTCGCCAAAATTGCTTCACCAGTCTGGCAGTATTTTAAGGTGTCCGAAAAAAGACAATAAAATAGCGGTATGCAACGTGTGTGAAGCAGAAACCCTGCAGCTCCACCCGCTGTGACGGACCGGTGAGTGGAGCAAAACACACATTAAGAATTAGACCTAACACACTTAGCTATTTTATCTACATCTGGAATTAGCTAAACTAGTTATAAATATAATTATTCTTCACTGTCGGGTCACTCATTACTGGATCAGCGAGCTGCATGAGATACAGACGGGCTGTCAGGAGAGAGAGAGGAAAAGAGAACGCTTCCGCTAATTTCTCCTGTGTTATTATCCAAAGTTAAAGTGGACCTATCATGCTATATTTGCAACATATATTGTAGGGCCATACCTATATAAAGTATATAAATATATATATTTTTTCAAAATACCAAACAGATCCTGAATTTTAGCCATGCCTCATTTCACTCTATTTGCTCTTTCCAGCCCTGTTTTTGCAGGGAGTTGGCATTAGGGCAGGGATATCTAGATACTGTCCAAGGTTTGACATAATGAATTGTGCTACTTTTAAAGCAAGCAACGATGTTTTCAAATCTGTAATCAAAAATCTCCTCAAAAACACTATCGAAGCAGTTCTTGCCGTTGCTACGATAGTTCCAACAGTAACAACGGACTATTTTTCTTAGCGGATGCATGTCAATTTAAATCAATACAACTATTTTTTAAATCAATAAAATCATTTTCTAAATCCATAAATGCATTTCAATTAATATTGGGAGTCATGTCGTTACTTTGTTGAGAATGTGGCTATGTAATAAGCGGGATAATGTAAAACACCTTCATGCCGATCTAGATCCCTCCGCTTCGCGTGGGCTCCTGATCAGCCTGTCTGTGTTCTTTTCCCCATAATGACCGCGTCGCTGCACATTATCCCTTACATATGATTATATAGAGTCATTATTCATTTGTTTTAAAGCAGGAGGCGCAAACGCTTGCCTCTGGGAGGGAGAAAAAGAGCCACAGCAGAGAATAAACAGAAGGGCAACCATGGCAACCATGCAAGGGAAGTCTTCTTCGCTGCTTTTGTGGCAGACTACAGCGCCACTTACAGGTCTGGCATATGTACTACAGCGTCTCCAGTGCTTTCAAGCAGCAATGGCTGGCCGTGGCCCAACCTCTCATTCCCCTGATAGGTGGATAATTGACCAATAGCCGTAGCACCACCGTCCTGACGTCAGGACAGTGTTCAAATCTGGATCAGTCTGTATCAGATCTGTTGCAGCCCCTTTTTTAGAGATTTGGTTATTGAGGAAAATAGAGAGGGTTGTGTTTTCTGACACTTGGTGAGTTCCCTGGAACACCGAGGACACATATTCATGTATAAAAGACGTACACAAGTGCATTTTGCATGATAGGTCCCCTTTAATGTAAACTTGTATAATGTACTTCATTTGAATGTAATAATTATGTTGGTTGTTGTTTGGGGAAGCGCCAGTGAATGAGCCCCATTAACTGAGTTTTAAACATCACTTTGCATTTAAGATCCCCATAGCCCCCACCCACTCGATCGGATCGGCGATCAGTATCGGCCGATACTGATTCCAGCGATCTGCGATGGGCCCCAAAATTGGCGACCAGAGCATCCCTAACAGAAGGCGTCATATTCATATTCTATCCTAATGCTCCATTTCTACTTTTGGGAATTGGATCATTACCATAGAAGTCTACAAACTAGAATCAATGTGGAAGTGCGTTTAACCTGCATTCTTTCAAAGAATAAGGACTCCAATGGTTATTAAAAATAGGTCTGTAGTAGTCTATGAGAAAATGACCCTACTTCTCACTTACAGTTGGATACATTTTTTAATCATATTCAGAGTCAGGTAGATGATGAAGCAGTGTATGCTATAGGAGGGGGCTAACCTGTGATAGACAGGTAACTCTCATGATGACCTCAATTTACTATTTTTAGTTCATTTTGGTGCCCTTACAATATTTTTTGAATAATATTAACTTGCTCCTTTCTCTAAATCACTTCTGGTACAAAAAAAAACAACAAGATTGCAGAGTGCCAAATCTGAGATTAAAAACCATACTCTACAAACAAATGACGATGGTTGCGTCAAGTTTTTAAATCACAGCTTGTACCTTGACGTATGTTTTATCTTTTTAAATGCCTTTGTGATGTGCTGCAACCCATTTTCTCTACTGGGACAAATAAACGAATACTACTATAACAGGAGTTCAGATCCCTGCCTGGACGTGCAAGTATTTAAACACTGCCCGAATTTGGGTAACAGAAGTGGAAGGAACAGGATTGTGGTGTGAGTAGGGCAGATTACTCTTGTTTCTTTTGCTGATAACAGAAAAACATTGGAGCCAGCAGCATATCATGCACAGGTCTAAAATAACCATTAAAAAACCAAACGTCCCTTCCCCCTTACAATTGCATTGCACTCACTAATGTAATTGCTATATGGATAAATTGTATGTTAACAGTGAGTCAGAAGCTTTGGGGCTGACTTTCTTAATAGTTTGTTGTAACAATAATAGTAATTATTCAGCTAAAAATATACTTAAGTATTGATTGCTACGATAGGTAAACTGCTGAGGACTGAGAGTGCAGAGTTTAAGGTTTGCAGCAGATTTTTTGCATCAGATGAAGTAGTGTATAGATATATAGTAGTTGTGGTTACAGATGCTTCAGATAAGGTCCTAAACTGCAACAAAAAATGCCTTGAGAACCTTGAACCACCGGCTCTTTACAATTTATTATAAAAACAGTTGCAGAATCAAGTTTAAATAAAAATGTTCTTTATGCCACATCTCAAGTTGACATTCTACCAGAAAACACAAATATAAACAAGACTGGTGTTAGGGTTGAGTGAAGCAAGCAGGACCCAAATGCAGATTTCAACGAAAGAATACCTTTATTCCAAGGAAAGCGTCAGAAACAGAACACTACCCCGTGACACAGTCAAAGACAAACAATGAACCAACAAAGACAGACAGAAAAAACAGAACTTAAATACACACAAAACTAATCACACAAACAAGACACAGGTGAGGAGGGAGGAGAAAACACAGGGGCACCAGGTGAACACAATCAAGTAATCAGGTAGGAGGGAACAGACAGAAAGCAGCAGGCAAGACAGGGAGTGAACACTTTTCAAAATAAAACATGAAACCAAAGACAGAAAAAGGCAAGACAAAACACAGACAGATCGTGACAACTGGCCTTCAGAGAGCTTAGCCCTCCACAAAGGCCGATGATTCAATGATGTGCGTCTCGGAAAGCTTCATTCCAGAGAAGCTTAAATTCATACCAAGAAGGCTACCAACAAGAAGTGATGTTTTATTTTTCTTGCTCAGAGCTTGTAAACAACACATTGATAGCTAGTTTTTCCACTTGGAAGGAGCTTCACATGAAATGTCCCAGTAGGTGAGTGAATTCTCTGATTATTCCAATACCACAAGAATGCCGCACAGAAGCCTTCTCTAGCAATAGAAACAAAAGCAAAAGATATATTTTGCACCTGCCTCGTGATTTCAAGCCACTCTCGTTATTGTATGGGTTTTCCTTGTCTAGTATTTATCCTTCTGTTTTCCTGCTAACAGATAAACACAGTGCTGAAAACATAACCTTGGCAGGGGTAATTACATCTATACTGTTGCCTGACTTGCTGGAAATAACATCGCTGAGACACCTCTGAACCTGAACCGTTGTAGGTCAAGCTGTAACATTTAAAAGACCCAACGATGACCTTACCTGATGACCCTTCTGTGGCCGGTGGCAAAGACACTTACACAATCTGACAATATAGAGTGATGAGGAGGAGGAAGAGCATGAAAAGAGTAAAACAGCCTGGAGGGTTAAGGAAATGTCAAGACAGGACGATGGTACAGTACCTGCAGACTTCCAACAGCAGAGTAGGCTGCGTAGGAGAACTGCTGCTTGGGCAGATCATTCGGTCCACGCTGGTCACATGGGATCCCGTTGGGCAGGAAACACTGGTGACTGGACCTGTCGGTGATGGTGTTAGGTGTGGAACCAGGCAAGCTGAGCAGAACAGTGTGATTGGACAGATGGACGTCAGTCAAACCGAGTCCCACCCACTGCCTGGAGAGGTACCTGGCTACGGCTTCCTCGCTGTCATCTGATAGGCTGGAGAAGGACCTGCAAGCAGCAGACGGAACAATGGCTTTTATAACAGTGTTGGATCAACTATTACATTCCCTACAGATTTGACTGGGACCTTACAGATTTGATTTGACTTGTTTCTTGATACAAAGTACTGAGATACTTTCAGAAACTCAGGATTTTTTAAGGCGGCCCTTTGATAGTTTTTGGGTTTTCCCTTTCCTGTATTGTGTTACATAGGTTTTTGTGCATGTAAATCAGGGGTGTCAAACTAAAATACACAGTGGGCCAAAATAAAAAAATGGTTACTAGTCGAGGGCCGGACTGGTTCAATGTTTATTGCAAAACGTATTGAAATGAACTTCTAGCTTAAATTATTGCCTATAAAAACAACATTAAACATTAAATAATCAGTTGCATTCATTGCTTATGGCTCTATCTGCAGCTTTTCCAGAGTCATTTCTTATGATTACATTTTTCCACAGGCCAACAACAGCTTCAAAAAAACAATTTCCCTCAAAGAAATAACAAACATGCCCTGTTGTCGCAAGAAAAAAAGTGCAAAAGGAAACATCCATTGAAACTCAGTTTGCTGCTCTGTGATGCTAGTTCAAGCCAGATACTTGGCATCTCATCTTGGGTTGAAGTTCATCAATGTTTTGGGTCAGGCTCTGAGCTGAGGAAACCCTCAGGATTGAGTGAAGGTGTGCGTGCAATATACCGGCGGGCCAGATCTAATAGTAATTAGCGGGCCTTGAGTTTGACATGTGTGATGTAAATGGTCTGCAAAGGCTAAAAATCCCAAAGTTCCCTCCCCCCGCCTGAAAAAGCTCCATTGGACTCTTTTGTTTATTTCTCGTGACTGTAGTGGAGAGATAGGGATAACTCTGTCTTGGCACTAGCTCTGTATTTATGACGAAGTTCACCCCAGTTTGTCGGCCAGAACACCACTTAAGGCCAGGAGTGGCCTTAAGTGGCTGGGCGTAAGAAAGTAGGTCTTAACTCTAACGTCGGGCTTAGCTACGTCCGACTTAGTGATTCGAATTTACAGCGAGTGCACCAAGCCTGACTAGTCTCAGTCGTAGCTGCGCCTGGTCTTAAGATGTGCGTCCATGTGAATACACGCAACACACGTCTATATAATTTAATACTCAAACTCCTCCATTCAGAGCAAAATAAGACTTGGATAACGAAAACCAAAAGAAGAGAAAAATGACGCCCACACCCCGAAATAAAAGAGGGATTTTACAGAGCTACAGCGTGAACTGGTGGAGAAAGAGATCGTTTGTGTAGAGGTGGAGACCGCAAAACTGAGAGCGGAACATGACAAAATTGAGTTGGAGAAGGAGAAATTAAGACTCAAAATTATCATTCTTAAGAATCAGCAAAGAATCACTGAAGAAGACAATGTGTCTGAAGCTGACCGTTGAGCGGCCCGACCAAGCAAGGAGGCAGAGGCAGAACGTCCCAAATACAACCCGGTGTGGGCATTTATTTCTCATTGGTACATGACGCAGCCTCAATATGACTGTCCATGTGAACACCGTCACCAGCAACAAGGATCTCACACCCACACTAACAGAAAAAAACAGAGCCTAAATACACACAGACTAATCAAGCCAACAAGACACAGGTGAGGGGGGAGGAGACAACACAGGGCACCAGGTGAACACAATCAACAACAATGAAGCTATACAATCCGTAACGGAGGCCGAGAGCTATTGGCCCAGAGATCACCTCCGTTACAGTGTCATTCACCATTCTCTAATCATATTTGTTGTACTTGTTCTTTATCTCAATTTCATGTTAATAGTTCTCCAAATGTTGTTATTTAATGTTCTTGTGTGTATTTTTTGAATAAAATAGGCTATAAGCTTATTGAAATGCAATTGCAAAAAACAGCATTCATATTACAAATATACAGGGCTATATGTTGTTTATTATGTGATTGCGGGTAAGTCGTCCACCGATATCTTCACGGATGCCAGGAGGATTTTGCTGCTTCTTCTTGTGTTGGAAGGTGAATATAATTCCTAAGGCGGCGCTGGAGAGCCAAGGAAACTTGTCTAATAGCCTGACATGCAGTTGTGCGATGAACATTAATCATGTCTCCCACAGTATTTTGAAAGGCCCCGTTCGTGTAGAATCTGAGCACAATCAGCACCTGCAAGGTTGGGGAGAGCGCAGCGTTTCTGTCTGATCCGTTCTGTTGCTGAGGGGAGATCTCCTCGATTAAATCAAAAAGGGCTTGTCTGCCAAATTGAAAACTCTCTATCAGCTCACTGAATAGATGTCCAGTGGGTTTGTTCGATCACGGACGACTCTTTATCTTCTTAATGCTCTTTCGTTACATGTAAACAAGACGCACTGCCATCGCTATTTTCCTTCTTGCCTGTTTTACGTTACTATGGATACTAGTCTGTTGTGATTTTACAACAGAGTTACGCCCAGCTGGTGCACTCCACTCCAGATGTCCAGAGCAGAGAAATTAAGAGCTGAGATGATGACTGACTTCCTTTACTGACTTCTCTTTGCAGTCATACAGATCTTATACATGTACATTTGTATGGGTCAGTGTGTGGTTTTCCTATAAGAGACATAACAAAATACAGATCGATAAATGATAAAATAGGCATACATAATATATATAATATTATCATACCTTAAAGGCAGTGTTGGGACTAAAAAATAACGCGTTACTGTAACGCCGTTATTTTTGGCAGTAACTAGTACTCTAACACATTACTTTTTAAATTCAGTAACTCAGTTACCGTTACTAAGTACATCGTGCGTTACTCCGTTAGTTTTTTTATATAGTGAACAGCCAGGCGAACAAAGATGAGAACTGTACTTAAGTACAGTACTTGAGTAAATGTACTTTTATACTTCCTGTGTCACATGCGGAGACGGGCTGTGGGCGTGTTTGTGTTGTTTACTAACAAGACTATCATGGCAGCGGCGGAGCTCAAGTCTAGTTTCTCCACCTGGAGATATTCTCACTATTTCACTTTTGTCGAGCACAAAGAAAAGAACGTTTTAGTTAAATGTACTGTAATCTACTGCCCAAACCAGTAATTCAAATCTCTTAAAACATCTGCAAAAACAACATGCTGGGACGAAGCTAGTAGCTAAGACCACAGAGACTCAGCCGACGCCACTCCACCTCCACCTAAGCAACAGCGGCTGGATTTTAACCAAGGGACTGCTAGCCAGGGAAAAGTCGATAAAGCCATTGCACGGTATGTTGTAGAACACATGCAGGCTATTGCTACAGTGGAGTCACCTGCTTTCAGGGAGCTAGTTAGCATGATAGCATGTCCGGGCGGCACACGGTATATGGAATGGAAAACTTTTTCCAACTACCTGGCGAAAGAATATACAAAAATGGAAAGCCAGCTAATATCGATGCAATCCAGATTGCATATAATGCATGTCAAGTTGGCTATAAGGGCATTAATGGGAGCCCTTTTTTAAAGTAACTAAAAAGTTACTTTTCACAGTAACGCGTTACTTTTTTGTGTAAGTAATCAGTAAAGTAACTGAGTTACCTTTGAAATGAAGTAACTAGTAATGGTAACTAGTTACTGGTTTTCAGTAACTAGCACAACACTGCTTAAAGGTGGGGTAGGTAAGTTTGAGAAACCGGCTCGAGATACACTTGTTGTTATATTCCATGGAATGCTCTTAACATCCCGATAGCAATGAATATCTTAAGTGCTTTGACAACAAATCCATAAAAAAATGCATCTGTGGAAGCCGTAGTACTGTAAAAAGCACGACCAATCATTTTAGCCAGCCCGGCTAAAGTAACTGGATGGCCTACCTGCCTGTCAGCCTTCCATCTGTGCACAAACTTATCTCGTGCCCTCATTGGTCATGTGCGCGTTCGTGTGTGTTGGAGGAGGGGCTCTGTAAGGAAGAGGCAGATTTTTTCCAGCTGTGTATTTTAAAATTCTAGCGCACTCGAGCTGGTTTCTCCAAAATTACCTACCCCACCTTTAAAGAAAGAATAATCTAGATTCAGACACACAATAATATAACATGCCTCTTAAACTCCAATTATAGTAAACAGAGGAATAGATATAAAACAACTATAGCTATATTTCACTCTCTTTACATTAATACAGAATGTCAAACACTCCTTATAAGGTATTTACAGACATGCAAAGTTAGGTAAGCTTTAATGCTGACATTCAACTTCCTGTTCACTGACAAAGCGGCAGCTGGTGCTTTTATTGTGAAAAGCTAGAGACATGCCACTTCCTGTCATTGAGTTAGCAAAGCAATTTGCATGACAGGTAGCGGTAGACAGGAATAAAGATGCTTGTAATAAAAGTAATACACTAAACACCTCGCATTCAGCTGAACATCTACTTTCAACAGCATAAACTACGGCTTAGATTAGAACATTAACAATAACTTTTTGGCACTCGACGTAGCGTATCTATTCCCAAGCTTTGAGGCGTAACGACTCAGTTAACTACCGTAATTAACGAGCACGCACGGAGCACTCGAAGCCTCCACATTACAAACCCTATTGGCACAGAAGTTATCATAACTGTAATAATACAAAGCAAAACAACATCACAAGCAATACTGTGGACAAATACTCACTTTTCATTTGGGCACATGACACTTAACGCACTATCTGCACCCCAACTTCGACTGAAGTCCATTACCTTCTGACGTCACCAATGAAACGTAGGTTAGCCCCTCCCCACTATGATAACCATCACTTAATAAACAGATATTAACTCTATATAATAACAGAAATAAGGAACAATAACGTGTTACTTTGGGGCTTTTTCAACCGTAACATAACTATGTAACACCTGCACTTGTCTTGGCTATAGCGCTTCAACACATTGTACATCATAAGGGGTAAGGGGTAGGACATCTCTAAGTTGTTAACCAATCACAACAGAGCCGGCCAGCTAACCAATGAGATCAGATTGGGCTCTGGTTTCAGACAGAGGGTGAAAAGAGGTGCTGTATCACGGGCAGTGTGAGAACAATAAAGACCTTTGTTATGCCAC